CTGTTTGGCCCCGCCATTCAATAGGATCATGGCTGATCTGACATTCCTCATACCCACTTTCCTGCCCATTCCCATAACCATTTGATTCCGCTACTGATCAAATATACACAAGGACTCGGCCCCCACAGCTCTCCGTGGCAAGGAGTTGCAAAGACTCTCAACTCAGAGAAGATATTAATCCTCATCTCAGACTTAAATTGGCACCCCCTTATTCTGAGACTATGTCCTCTGGTCCTAAACTCTCCTATGGATGGAAACATCCTCTCATCATTTACCCTGTCAAGCCTCTTAAGAATCCTTTACGTTTCACTGAGATCACCTCTAATTCTTCTAAACTCCAGTGAGTAGAGTCCCAACCTGAGTAGCCTTTTCGCATAAGACAATCCCTCTATCCCAGGGATCATCCTATTGAACCTTCTCTAAACTGCCTCCAATGAAATTATACCTTTCGCCAAATAAGGGGCCTAGAACTGCTCACAGAACTCCAGATGTGTCTCACCAGCACCTTGTACAGGGTTGTAATGAGACTTCCCTACTCTTATAATCCAACCCCATGAAATAAGGGCCAACATTCCATTAGCCTTCCTGATTACCTGCTGCACCCGTGTGCTAGCTTTCTGTGTTTCATGTACCAGCGCTGTCAAATCCCCTTGTGTTGCAGCTGTCTGCATATTTTTCCCCATTTAAATATTATTCTGTTCTTTTGTTCTCCCTTCCAAAATAATTATAGAAACATAGGAATAGGAGTAGGCCATTCAGCCCCTCAAGCCTGCTCTGCCATTCAATAGGATTCTGGCTGATCTTTGGTCCAACTCCATGTGCCTGACCTGGGCCCATATGCTTTGATATCCCTGTTTAATAAAAATTTCTATCTCAGATTTGTATTTAACAATTGAATTAGCATCAATTGCCGTTTAAGGAAGAGAGTTCCAAACCTCCACTACTCTTTGCATGTAGGACTTGTTTCTACCATCTCTCCTGAATGGCCTGGCCCTAATTCTTCAACCAGTGGAAATAGTTTATCTTTATCTACCCTGTCTTTCCCTATTAATATCCTGATAACCGTGATTAGATCACCCCTTAACCTTCTATTTTTTGGAGAATAAAGGCCTAATTTGTCTATGTCTCCTCATTACATAATCTTGGAAGTGCAGGCATCGTCCTTGTAAACCTGCATTGAGCTTTCTTCAGGGCCACAACATCCCTCCTAAGGTGCAGTGCACAGATCTGCTCACAGAACGCTAAATGTGGTCTAACCAGGGTTTTGTATAACTGCAGCATAACTGTGCATCCCTTTAGACACAAGGCCAGCATTCTATCAGCCTTTTTGACTATTATCTGCACCTTTTCATAGCATTTTAAAGAGATATGCATCTGAACCCCTAAATATCATTGGACATTTGCTGTATTTAACATTGTGACTCATAAAATATATCTTGATCTATTATTTTTGTCTCAAATAGATAACCTCACACTGACTTATACTAAAATACATCTGCCACAACTTCTCCCATTCACCTAATGTATCAACATCCTGTTGTAATTTTATGCTGTTAACGCTGTCTACAATGCTACCTAATTTTGGATCATCAGCAAATTTAGATATTTGACTTTTTATGCCATTATCCAAATCGGTAATGAATACCGTGAGTAATTGAGGCCCAACACAGATCCCTGCTGGATTCCACGAGTCACCTCCCGACAATTTGAGGTACTTATCCTTATTCCAACTGTTTCCTGCCACTCAACTAATTTCCTATACACATCAGTAATTTGGACTCAATTCCATTAGCTTCCACCTCAGCTAGTGGTCTTTTGTTTGGGACTTTATCAAAAGACTTCCATATAAATAGCATTCATTGGCTAGCTTCTGCCCAACACCTTTGTCACCTCCTCAAAAAACTCTGAGGTTTGTCAGACAAATGCAAGACAAGCAATCAAGGCTCAACAGGGAGCAACTTCATACTTTCTCACATTATACTCTATTTGCCAACTTTTTGCCTAAATACCACCTACCTATCAATATTTCTCTATCAACTGTTTGTATCCATCTCAAAACTTGCCTTTCTACCTACTTTTGTGTCTTCTGCAAATTTAGCTACAGTACATTCACTTTCTTTCTCCAAGTAATTAATAGAGATTGTAAACAGTTGTAGTCCCAGCACTGTTCCCTGTGGAACCCCAGTGGTTGCAGGTTGCCACCGTTTCCTGCCCATGTGCTAATTCTCTATCCATGCCAACATACTATCTCCAAAATCCTACCTCATGACTTAATGTTTTGTGAAGCACCTGGTTGAATGGAAGTCCAAATACAACACATCTACTGGTTTTCCCTCTACCTACTCTGGTTGAGACTTCCTCTGAAAATTCTAATAAATTAGTGAAGCACATTTGCTGACTCTACTTGACTAGATTATGATTTTTCTAAACATTCTGCTATTATTTCCTTAATAATGGATTCCAATACCTTTCCCAAAATAGATGACAGGCTAATCGGCCAACAGTAACCTGCTTTTTGCCTCCCTCTCTTTTTAATAGGGCTATCACAATAGCAGTTTTTCTCATCTGCTGTTACTTCTCCAGTATCCAATGATTTTTGGATTGATTCGCCCTGTAGTTGTACTTGGGGTAGTGGGATTGGTTCATTCAGACCCTGTTATGTGTCTTTCCCACCTTCACTGTCTGACACCAAGAATGTGACACAAGAAGAATGATGTTGTACCAAAGTGCCCAGGTACACCCACATGCCAGGATGTTGTGATTAAATTTACTCATTGCCAATCTTACTCTACAGCCAATTAATATATTTATCTTCTGATGTCACCACTCTCCAGTCAGGTTTGGGTGTGGTATTTTACTTGACACACACATCAATTTGCCAGATCCTGGTCCTCAAAACAATGCTGGCAATAAATTAATTAACACAACAAGGACCATTTCTCTTCAAGCTTTAAACTCACCTCTTCCCAGTGTAGAATCTGTCTAACTGCCAATGGTGAGGGTTTGTACGATTGTCTTTGTAGAACTTTCTCAGACAGTACCATTGCTTGCAAGTGTGTCACTTAAATGTCTAAGTCATTGTTAACCAACACAAACCAAAGTGGAGCTATTGAGGCATGTATTTGAGCAGCCACTTGTCATCAATGGACAGGGCAAATTCTGAGCTACAGTTGTTCCCATTTCAGCTTTCCTCAACTGTTGCTGGTGTTAGTTCCCTGTTGTGTAACCTGCAGTATTCTTTTGAAAATAATTGGGGGAGTCAGTTGTTACAAGTTAGCACTTTTGACATGAGTCTTTGCATGATGGAGACAGTAGTGGGGTGAGTCAGTTGGGAAGGGAGAGTGAGGCAAAATGACATTTCTCAGATGCTCAGGATATCAGAAAAATATTATTTCTATGGCATGGAAGTATCTGGGTGTCCCTCTACATGGATCACAAAAAGATGATTTGGGAGACAAATGGATTGTTGGTCTTTGTTACTTCAACATTCCATTCCCTTTGCAACAAAGTATTAGTACAGCGCATCATTGAGACCGCATCTAGAGGACTGGCTATGCATTTGGTCTCCTAGTAGTTCAGAGTAGGGGTTTACTGAGAAAGATCAAACAAGTTGGGCTTATCCTCATTGAAGATTGGCAGACTGAGAGGTGATCTTATTTGAAAATATCCAATTCTAAGACAGCATCACAGATGCTGGAGATTTGGAAATTGTGGGTGTTGAGTGAATGTTTCTCCAGTGGGAGTTTAAAAGTGAGGGATTTCCCATTTAAGATGGACACAGGAAGGAATTTCCTTTCTCTGGGGGGCAAAAATTAGTCTTTGGAATTCTCTTCCACAGAAAGCTGCTAAGGCTGGATCGCTGAACATATTCAAGGCTGGGTTAGGTTTTTGCTCAGTGAGGGAGTCAAAGGTTATGCAGAAAGTAGAATTAACTCCACAATCACATCAGCCATAATCTTACTGAATGATACTGCAGGCTCAGTGGGCCAAATGGCCTACTTATGCTCCTATTTCTTTTGATCTTATGTTTACTGGAATGTAATCAAAAGTAACAATGACATATATTGAGAGATAACATAAAAGAGGACCTTTTTGTAAAAAAAAGGGTGCCCCAGACAGGTGAAGGCATAGCTGGCAATGATGGAGGGATGAAAATCAAGGATGTGCAAGAGGCCAGAATTGGAAGAGTATCAATATCTTGAAGAGTTATAGAGCTGAAGGAGTTTACAGAAACAGCAATGGGTGAACCCATAGAAGGATTTGAAAACAAGTGTGAGATTTTTAAAATCAAGGCATTGCTAGACTGCAAATCAATATAGATCAGCACACAAAGGGATGTGAATGAACCGGGCTTGCTGCGAGTTAAGGGAGAGGCAGCAGAGGTTTTGAATAAGCTCAAGTTTACAAGGGTGGAAGATGGGAGGCTGACTATGATATCATTCTGTAGAAGAAGCTCAAAATAAAATGTATAAGTCCTTAGTTAAGTGTATTTAAATGATTTGTTTATATACCGATGATTCATTTTCATTGTTTAATGATTAGCAGAATATACGATTACAGAAATGATTGTTTTGAAACTTTCATACTTGCTGAGTCACTAACTCCCCAATGATTTAGGCCAATTGTTTACCTGGTTTTGATCATGCTCTATTCAGGTGCAAATTATTCCTGCTTTTACCATTATTTGGTAGCAATATATGGTCTTAATATCCAGCAGTGTTTCTCTTGTGTACAATATCTGCTTTAAATATCAAGAAAAATCAAAACATACTTTATATTAGAATCCATAAATGAAAGGCACTGTATTAAAGTAGGATTTCCACACTGCCAAACAATACTCATTTGTGCTGCTAATGCTGAACATACCAGTGTCACGAGCTTAAGTGACCTCTTGGCTATACAACAATAGCAACATGATGTGTCAGTGTACGGTGCAGCAACTGACAAAGTCGGTTTTTTTCACCACCAGGATCAAAAGTTTACTGTTTACTGTGACTGACCTTTTACAAAAAGGACGAGTACAAGAAATGCGTCCAGGTCTTCCAATGAACGGTTATTGAAGCTGCCACAAATGTATTTTAAAACTCAAAGGAACGAACTGATGTTGGGCTGATTTTGTTTCAGGCGAGCCTCTGGGGAAAACAGATTCATTTAAAGAAAGAAAGACTTGCATTTATATAGCATCTTCCCAACAACAGGAAGTCTCAAAGTACTTCATCGCCTACGAAGTAATGTCTTTTGAAATGTACTCACTGGTGCAAAATAGAAAAAGCAGCAGCCACAATGCACATAATAGCCATGATGTGGAGATGTTGGACTGGGGTGGACAAAGTCAAGTCAAAAGGGTTTTCACCTGACAAAACAGCAGTGCTTTGAAAGCTTGTAATTTTAAATAAATCTATTGGGACTATACCTGGTGTCATGTGACTTTTGACAATGCACATAGTGAGCACCTACCAAATTGCAATGTGATTTTGAGCAGGTAAACTTTTTTTTTATATTGATTCAGGGACAAACATTGACAAGAAATAGCTGCCTAGCTCTTCTTCAACTTTGGTTTAAGATTTCAACCGTTTCAGCATATTATCAGTCCAGCACTACTCCCATCAGTATTGCACTGGAGTATCTGCTTTGATATGTGCTCAAGTCCTGAAGCAGAACCTAAACCAGTAACCTTCTGACTATCAACTAAGCCACATTTGATACATTATTCTGAACCTTTAGTCCTTGTCTTCACATTGCCTTGTGAAACATCATGCACCAAATGCTAATCCACTTCCACATTTCATCCTCTTACTTTGACATTATAAAGACATTGCCACTGCACTTCTTTTCCAGCAGTTAAAGTGAAATATTTGCAATAAACAATTTTGAAGGAGGATTCATGCAAGAAGGAATAAGAATTCAATTTGCGCAATCTGATTTAGAGGCTTTTGCTCCATAGGATTAGGTTTGGACATTGAGTTTATATTCCAAATTGACAATAATGAGAATTGCAAACTGCAGGAGCAATATTTGAAAATGGATTACTAAACTTTAAATCTTTCATACCATTTTAAACATCACAAACCTAATTTGACTGATTACATTTCATTGTTGCTCCCTTTGATTTGGGATGGAAGAGGGTGGGTGATGGTGGAAAGGGAACAATAAGCAAACAGATCCCTTTTGATTTCATCTGTAAATATTGCAATACAAATGTCCCTAACATCAAAGGAGTATTTATATTCCTGTTTGATTCGCCAGGGGATGCAGAATTTAATTAAGTCATTCCCTACTTTCAAAACTAAGTAAAATTCCCCTAGTAACAAAAAAAGAGAATTAATTTAACATTTCTCTTGTTCTTCCTTTTTTTGCTTACCAGTGAAAATACCAGTTGATTAGTTCATATTTACTTCCCCAAAAAGTAATGGATTTCAGTGGTTCACAGTTAAACTGCGTGTATTAAACAACAAATTACTACTAACTAGCTTTCCGATCTTGTGAAAATTGGATAATGGATCATGATGTTAAAGTGGGAGAGTGAAACTTCACACAGTCTTGTCAATAAGCAGTTTAATTCCATAGGTATATTGAGGGATAGGATTTTTTTAAACTGTGACCACTTCAAGGAACTGGATTTGGTCAAGCTAAGACATTTATGCAAAGTTTGGTCATTTAAAATATGTTAAACTGATTTTTACAGGAAAGTAGAAGACAGAACTCCCACTCCTCCCTCTATTAATACACCCTTTAGATCACAGGCTTTTTTTTGAAAAAGTTATCTTTAGCAACTGGCTGTATTTTAGAGGTGGTTTCCTTATAAGGTTTCTATTTTCTCGATTACTGAGGGAGACATAAACTACGTCTGTTATAACAGAGATCACAGTACATCTGAATGACTTGGAATAAGCTAACCAGATGTTCCAGTTTAACACAGGATAGTTCCAATATTGTTGATACGATCCTGGTTATAGTTTTCTATGGTCAATTTATTGTCTCAATTTCACTGCAGCTTTTTAATGCTATTAAGAATTGCTTTTCTGAAACAAAGTAAATTTATCCCAATTGATTCACCCCTTCCACTCATTACCCTATTTCTTTGGACCCCTGGTAGTTCATTGGCGTTTGTTATGAAACCTCCTCCTTTGTGATGAATTGCTTAGGAGACCTATTGTTTAAATAAGGACTGGAGTCACAAAACAAAAGCTTTTTCATTACAACGATACCACGTGCAGTTTGGTGGGGTGGTGCATTTTATATTTACAACATTGCCTCATGTCAGTAAAGGGTCAACAAGAACATTTTTTTCTAAATGGTATGTTTCCTTTAAAACTGCACGCCCCTTCCCTCGACCCTAAATCTCCTTTCAGTTCCTGGTTTTTGCAATAGTCTTTCCTGGATTTAAATATCTGAAATCTAGCCGAACAATATTATGAACTTTATCTCACTATGATAAGGAATGATGTTTTAAACTGTTTATTACTGCTCACTGTTTTAAGAGAGAACTTGCTGACTTCCATTGGAAACACTACTGCATGCTGAAGAAAACAGCACTGGCTCACGTTATGTTTCCACTTCTCTTTCACAACAAAACCAATCGGAAAGTATAATGTCAAGTGCAATTAATGCAAGCAAACAATCCACCTTTTCTTCTGTTAATAAATGTTTCTGTGGCACTCTACGTTCCTGCCTTTCCACACCCAGCCCCATGGCTCTTCATCAGGCTGTTTAACTTGTCCAAACAAGACAGAAATTTAGAAACGTAATCCGCCCATTCCCGCATAGTGAAACCAAGCAACCACTTCAGTATGCAAATGAGGTGGATGAGGCGGCAAAGCCAATAAACTGTACAATTGTACAAGGGCATTAGTCAATTGAGCCACATAAATAACTACAGTTTAGTCAGGTGGTGGGGGAGAGAAAAACTTGCTGCACACCAGCAAATCCTTCTTACCACTAAAATTCAATTATAGAGTCTAAACAAAAACAAAACATCAATCATATCTTCCTTAAGCATGGCTGGTCGTCTGGCTTGCGATGCAGATTGATGCCAACAGTATGGGTTCAATTCCCACACCAGCTGAGGTTACCATGAAGGATTCTCCTTCTCAACCTCTCTCCTCACACAAGGTATGGTGAGCCTCAGGTTAAACCACCACTCTCTAATAGAGAGCAGCCCTATGGTCTGGTAAGTCTCTGTCCAACTTTATCTTTAATGTACCAAATATAATACATAATAAAGAACTTGATAATGCAGTCAATTCCATACAAGTTCACCGACAATCAGCACACAGGATAAAAAAAGCACACTCCAAAGAGAAGTCTCTTATTTGAAACGTGGTTATTTTCAGGAGCTTCCTTGCATTCTGAAGGAACTGAATAATTACTTTGTGTCAGTCTTCACGGTGGAAGACACGAGTAATATCCCAAAAATTCAAGAGAGTCAGGGGGCAGAGCTGAGTATGGTGGCCATCACCAAGGAAAAGGTGCTAGCGAAACTAATTGGCCTGAAGGTGGACAAATCACCTGGACCAGATGTTCTAAAGGAGATATTTGTAGAGATAGTGGAAGCGTTAATGGTGATCTTTCAGGAATCACTAGAGTCAAGGAGGGTCCCAGAGGACTGGAAAATGGTTAATGTGACACCCCTGTTTAAAAAGGGAGTAAGGCAAAAGATGGAAAATTATAGGCTGATTAGCCTAACCTCAGTTGTGGGTAAGATTTTGGAGTCCATTGTAAAGGATGAGATTGCTGAATATTTGCAAGTGTATAGTAAAATAGGGCAAAGTCAGCATGGTTTCATCAAGGGGAGGTCATGCCTGACAAATCTGCTAGAATTCTTTGATGAAGTAACGAGCAGGTTAGACCAAGAAGAGCCAATGAATGTTATCTACCTGGGCTTCAAGAAGGCTTTTGATAAGGTGCGACACATGAGGATGCTGAGTAAGATAAGAGCCCATGGTGTTAGAGGCAAGTTGCTAGCGTGGATAGAAGGTTGGCTGTCTGGCAGAAAGCAGAGAGTGGGGATAAAAGGGTCTTTCTCAGGATGGCAGCTGGTGACAAGTGGTGTTCCACAAGGGTCAGTGCTGGGACCACAACTTTTCACTTTGTACATTAATGATCTCGATGAAGGAACTGTAGGCATTCTGGCTAAGTTTGCAGACGATACAAAGATAGGTGGAGGGACAGGTAGTATTGAGGAGGTGGCGAGGCTGCAGAAGGACTTCCCCAGGTTAGCAGAGTGGGCAAAGTGGCAGATGGAGTACAAGGTGGGAAAGTGAGAGGTCATGCACTTTGGTAAGAAGAATAAAAGCATGGACTATTTTCTAAATGGGGAGAAAAATTCAGAAGTCTGAAGTGCAAAAAGGCTTGGGAGTTCTAGTCTAGGATTCTCTCAAGGTAAACTTGCAGGTTGAGTCAGTTGTCAGGAAGGCAAATACAATGTTGGCATTTATTTTGAGAGGGATGTACTACTGAGGCTTTAAAAGGCTCTGGTCAGGCCACGTTTGGAGCATTGCGTGCAGTTTTGGGCCCCATATCTCAGGAAGGATGTACTGGTCCTGGAGCGGGTTCAGAGGAGGTTCACAAGAACGGTCCCAGGAATGGAAGGCTTAACACATGAGGAACGTTTGAGGACTCTGGAACTATACTCATTGGAGTTTAGACGGAGGGATCTAATTGAAACTTACAGAATACTGAATGGCCTGGACAAAGTGGATGTTGGGAAGATGCTTCCACTGGTACGACAGTCTAGAATCCGAGGGCACAGCCTTAGAGTAAAGGGAAGCCCTTTTAGAATGGAGATAAGAAGAAACTACATCAGCCAAAGAGTGGTGAATCTATGGAATTCACTGCCACAGAAGGCTGGGGAGGCCAGGTCATTGAGTACATTTAAAACTGAGATAGATAGGTTCTTGATTATCAAGGGTTATGGGGAGAAAGCAGGAGAATGGGGTTGAGGAACTTATCAGCCATGATTGAATGGCGGAGCAGACTCAGTGGGCCGAATGGCCTAATTTCTGCTCCTATGTCTTATGATCTTATGTTCTTATGTTCTTATTATTCTAATTGAATAATCAATCATCTTTGAACAGTGAAGTGACACTTGTGAAACTTATCAGTTAACATAAAATGAAAGCAAATGTGATAT